TCATCAAAGGGAAACTGAGAGAACAGAGAAACCAGATCATCCTCAGACAGCAGCATCCAGCTTGTTTCTGGGTCTTCATCCTGAGAGAGTTCACAAGGGTGTTACAGTAGACATCACCTGGTAGTAAGGTTTTGTTGGTACTTAGATACGAGAGACAAAATAATGGCACTTTCGGCCTGTGCTAACAGAAGTCAAAAGTCTGATCAGACTGCAATATAATATATAATTGATTTCTGATGTCAATATTTGCAGTGAGGTCAAAATGTCTGAAACCATTAGCAAAGAAATTGTAAAAATTTCTGTTTTTTCATGTTTAATAATTTAATACAAATCAGCATAACAGTATGAGTTCAGACATTCTCTTATAAAGCACTGACAGGGGCTGAGCAGAAATTTTAATTTTCGGTTTCATGATGGACCTCCTCACCTCCTCTCCACCCTCATCCACTAGAGTCCAGTTACCAGACTGAGGTCCTGTAATACTGTTGTTGCCCTTCACGTCACTGGGCTTCATGTGTCCGAGGAAGTCTGCACGGTGCCTGCATGTCACACAAATCTCCATATTCAATGAAATGAATAATGCAAAGCCAAATTCTATATCAAGTTTGTGCTTTTAGTTATAACAGTTTTAAACAAAAGAAGCAGCTTTTCGAGCTGTAACTGTAACAATGGCAATAATACAGATGATATGTAAAAAAAATTCAATGGATCATCAGCTCAATTTCCAGTAAAGCTAATCTTCACCTCGCTGGAGACATGAGGATAGCCAGAGCCTGCATGAAATGATACACTCCAGATGGGTTATCCAATACTTTGATCTATTGAAGGAAAGTGGATGCAATGAGTATTATAAGACAAGCAGATATTTGAGATTTTTTATATGTATATTTTTATATATCCCTGTTAAGATTGTTTACTGCTGATCTGAGTCACACATCAAGGCTCTGCTTCAGTACCTGCAGGAATGGCACAGCCCATTTCCCCACACCTGCCGGGCAGCAGAGCAGGTGGTTTAGGATGAAGAGATGATCTCCTCTTGATCCAACATGATGCAGCACAGACACCTGGATGGAAAAAAAGCTTTTATGTTTCATCATAGGTCATGAAAACCAGATCTTATAACTGAGATCCTTTTAACTCTGGAGTAACGTAAGGCTATGAGTATACGGTAATCAGCTAAGCTTGAATTTAATCAATTAAAGGACATCAGAATAATTGGTATTTATAGATACCAATATTTGATATGAATCTAATATTACAAATAATTTGTAGCTGTTTTTTCAGAATGTTCCTCATGAATATAGTAAGACTTTCTTATATTATGATCTCATGTTATCTTGAGATTTTTTCAGTTCATTAGCTGGGTGTTTGAGGGTCTTTACCAGCCTCTGAAGCCAGAGATGGATGTCAGCCTGAAACTGAGAATCATCTAGGACCCGTCGGGTGAAAATAAACAGCACACTGATGCTCTCCTTCAGCGATTGCAAAGAGGACGGCTGAGACTTTGGACTCACTAAGAAGTTCAATACAAAAATCAATAGACAGCATGGCATTCAAAATAACAGAAATAACAACGTTCAGCTGTAATCCTATGCTTTTTCAATGCTCATTAGGACCAGACATAATAATATAGAAGTAAGACAGTTGTCAGTTCTGGTCATCCAATCTTTGGATAAAAGTGTCTGCTAAAATACACAAACAGTGAACAAGCAAAATCCAACAAGGATTGCATTAAATATGCCTCAATTATCAAAAATGTTTTTACATTTGCCATATTGATGTTTTGTCAACACCTGTGAAAATATTTACTCCTTTTCAAACAGTGTAAGTTAACCAATTATTTGTGTCTAATGTACAGTCTAGAGACTTATCAGTGCGAACTTGCCTGTGCTTGTATCTTGCACAGCCACACTTTTGGTGGTGGGGTTACTGCTGAGCAAGCGGTAGAGATAAGACTCCACTTGCAGACGGGACAGGATGGAGGTGTATGAGTGCAGGGCCACTGTCTGATGGAGTATTTCTGCTTTTGCAGAAAACAGATGCTTCAGCTCAGCTAATGCTGCCTCGTTCAGAGTCACCTGCTGGTAGCAGTGGTAGCCAAACACCTTGGTCTGGTCCGCACATACACCCTGTAAAGCAAACAGGTGTTTGTGATCAATAAAACAGACCAATGCAGTGTATTTGTTATGGTAAGGCATGGCTGTGACTTAAACAGCTGGGTTTACAGTTTTGATAAGGACACACTATAAAACTGGAGATCATGCTACCAGTCAGCAAAAAACATTCAGCTGATCAGGGTTGTGCGCATTTATTCAGAATTGCACTGAATCCATTCCTGAATTTGAAATAAAATAGGATTGAGGTAAAAAAACATGATGCAGAATCACAATAAAAATGTATTTTTTTTAGTTTGTCTTGAAATTTGAAGGTTTATTGGCTTTAATATATAACTAGATAGATAGAAAGATAGAAAGATAGATAGATAGATAGATAGATAGATAGATAGATAGATAGATAGATAGATAGATAGATAGATAGATAGATAGATAGATAGATAGATAGATGTGACTCACCTGTAATGAAAGCCTTTCATCCTTGAAGCTCCACATGCGATTCTGCACATTTTTGCAGTCTGAGTTAGCAGCCTGCAGTTCAGTCTGGGCCTGCGTCAGCTGTTTACGGCACCTCCAGTAGCTCAACAGCAGCTCGTACAGCTCATGTCCCTCTTGGAGGGCCAGACTCTGGAACTCGGCTTCATGGAGCTCCACGTTTTCCAACCAGGAACCGGGTTCCCATGTCCGTAGCTGCTCGCTACTGAAGGGCTTAACGGACTGACAGGTCCTGGGAAGCTCTGGATAAAGCCTCTCCCTGGGCTTCTCCACGTCAGCGACCTTCACAGGGATCAAGCTGGGCGGGGAGGATTCCTGGTTAGCCAGAGGCAGAACAGCTGGAGCTACCCGTCCATCAGAAGCCACTGGCATAAAGGAAGTATCTAACAATCCATAGGCGATAGAGTATGAGTCCTCCGAGAGCTGAGGCTCAGGGCAGGAAGCTGGGATAGACGGATATATAGAAGGGACACTAAATGGCTCAAGTTTAGCACTAAGAGGTTTGGGATCACTTTGGCTGTACTGAGTGGGTGTCAAAACTTGGTCCACCCAAGGTGCCGTGTCTTGTGTTGATGATTCATGCTCTTTGTCTTCATGGCAGGACAGTTTCTTCACTATTTCAGTCGTATCAGACAAGAGAACTTGGTCCTTTTCAGCTTTGTCATTATGGTCTAGTGAGGTCTGTGTGGTGGGTAGGTTCAGATCAGAGGCAGGAGGCACATGAGAAAGGCTGAGAGGGACATCAGTGAACAGTGCCGGCCCTGGCTCATTAAGTTCTCTAGAAGGTCCAGAGGACTGTCTAACACTCTCTAACTGTCTCTCCTTTTTGACCTGTTAATGAAGAATAACTATTTTTAGGATTATGAGATAAACTTAAAACAAGATTTTAAGTGTCAACCTAAAGATTAGTAAGAGAAATATTATAGGTGGGTTTTCACCTGTGGCTTGCCACTGGATTTGGACTTTGATTTTTTGGGTCTTACAGCCTCCATCTCCACGCCAGTCTCCACATGATCGTTATAAAATTACTCCATTCCTCTACAGGACCCTGCAGCACACAAGTCATTAAGCTTTAGAGAAGATATTGCGTTTAAAGGAACAATTCACACAAACATTTTTACTTTACAACATTATCTCCTCACCCTCATGTCGTTACAAACCTGCATGACTTAGTTTCTGGCTGTGGAACACAAAATTAGGCCTACGTGCTTTGCAGAATGACAGTCTCTGCAACCTTTCACTTTTGTTGACATGAAGAGAAAATACAATGAAAGTGCAAGGTGACTGAGAGACTCTTTTCACTGAGAGATCTCTTGTTTCACTGAAGTCACATGTGTTGTAACAACATGAGGATAATCACAATTGCATTTCGATGGAACAACAATAGCCTACAATTAAAATACAACAGAAAACGAAACCAAAAATGTAACGTAAGAGAGCGGAAATTCTGGCGGTAAGAGTTTCCACCTTCCATAACATCTAAACCAACTGAAGACAACTGACAGCGACAGAACATTGATGAACCCGTGCAGTAGTTCACATTCAGCTGATTCACTATTTCTATAATTAGCAGTGAATAAATTAGTTGTTACTTCCACGAACGAGGCTAACGTACCATTTCTAGTAAAAAGTAAACATAGACAGATACATCAAAGGATTGCAGGGAGGAGCGGATCATCCAACATAACCCCTGCTGACATGGATGATTCGTTCTACAAAACACAACAAAATAATCTCGTGCGAAAGGAAGATTATTATAACTCACCTACGTGATATTACTCTTATAAACAGCAGCTGTCAGTCAGTCATAAAGATTTTGCGGCGCTGTCAGTTCTTGGATTGTTTTGTTCCTGGACGCTATCGCAAGACGGGGATCACGTGCCCCTCCACTCTCAAATGGTGAGCCGGAAGGGACAAAACGCGAAGAACTTATGAGCCAAGGTACGTAAATATTATTAATTTTTTTTTTTTTTAGTGCAGCTGTAGTTTTGCCGTTTCTACAATTATGTTGCAGTATCAGTAGTTGCTGCAAAACAAACAAACACAAAAACGACAGATTCTGAAAGCTTCTTGACCAGTTTGAAGGCGATGACATTTTGTTTACAATACCATGCTATAGGTTTGCAAATGATAGATAATGAGATGTACTTATATTTGATTAGTTGATAGTGCTTAATAAAGTTAAGTCATGTACATATTTTAAAAATCCCTGAATACATGCAATACATGTAGTCAATCTCCATTATTTGAAATAAAACCAGGTCTAACCTTTATGTGGTATATTTCATTTCAAACATAAATAAAGCTAACCACAACTCAGCTTCTAGATGTAGATGTTTTATTAATTCATTTCATACACAAGTGACACTGAAAACTGTTAGAAGTTCTGAGGTAATCTCTTCCATCCTCAGCCCCAGAATTGATCAGCATCCAAACTGCCCTTGATGTTGTTCTGATTCTCTCTCCTCTCCTTGGTCACCAGGTTGGCCTCACCCTTCTGCAGACGTCTTCTCTGAGCAGCCTTCTGCTGTTTGTTGAGCTGTCTCTTCACTTTCTGCCTGATGACCTCCTGTATAGGGGCACATCCAACTCATTACTTACAACAACATAAATCTAACTTGCATCATAAAAGCAAAGTTTAAAAAAAATCTGGAGTGATTATTTATTTTTTACACCAAGTTCAAATAGCCCACCTTGTTGGCAGAGGCTATTTACACTAATTCTGCCCACCATTGTCAAGATGAGTCAGGACAAAATTACCAAGGACACCCATCTGAAACAGAAGCAGTGACGTGGAGAGTAAAGCTGGTTGGCGATAGCTTTTGAAGCAACCAACCAGAGTTCGAATCCGCCTTTTTCCGAACTTATTCTTCTCCCTTTTCCTATTGCATATCAGCTTGGAGAGGTGTTACTTTAAATAAAATTAAGAAAATATTTTCAAGGTATTTAGATATTTAATAGTGGGAATTTAGTGCTAAACTGGCATTTCTAAATTAAATTGGATGTGGTGTCCTCACGATGGTCAGATGGTCTTGAACATTGACTGCGACTCATGTTACCACGCTCAAAACAATGGCTCCCTTCCTGGACTTTTGAGGACAACTTTACTTATCAGCAGGTTCAGCATGGTTAGGGGTAAATGTAGGGAAGGGATTTAGGGTTAGGAACAAGTAATGTCCCAAAAAGGCAGCATTCATTTTAATACATGCAAACACATACACTAAATTTCTTATTACATACTGTTTTATAATATACTTACAATACAATAAAGGTGCAAAAAGTATCTGCCACTATTTGCACTAAGTATACATAGCACCCAAAAACTGTTGACATTGTGCAAATAGACTCTGGCTTCTTTCCCCGAAGAACTTTGCATTTATTTATGCAAACCTACAAAGTTTTGACTGCATCTTGCTTTTGTGAATGAGGAAGCAAATTTTTAACCATATAATGACATTCAAAAGGTTATACTCACTGGTGGAATTGTTGAACAACTGCCAACACTTCCAATGCTCATTTCACTGGTTGTTCTCCTCCTGTGCTCGTTCTCAAGGCTCAATTGGTCTCTGTGGGATCACAAGCATCATTTCATTATACATATCAAATGTAATAGTAAGGGTTTTATATGCAGGAATGCTTTAGTTCACACATAAATTCGAATTCTTATAAGTTATAATACTAATACTTATTCTTATAATAAGTTCACAGCAACCACAGGGTGCCAAGCATCAAAAAAGCACAAAAGTCATTTAAGGTCATAATTCACAGATAATCTTTGTTTCCACTGCAGCTCTCCAACCAAATGTCACGTTGTGACCGGATGTGTCAGCTTGAAGAATGCTTGCGTTAGGAAACCTACATTTTTCACAGGTAGCAGATATTTCAGTTGAAATTAAATTAAAAACAGATTTAATTGAAACGTAGTCACATTTAAACATTGATCAACGCACATCCATAAAGCACATCAAATATTGTAAACTAAAGCTCAACTGTACTTGTACTGGATCCAAGTAAATTAAAGAATGTTCAATTTTGGGTGAAATAACCCTTTTAGGATATAAGCCACAATATGAACGGTGGCTATATATCTGTGTGAAAATGGTTGTGTGTGCAATCCAGTTACGATATTAGAAATCATATTTTTAGATACAAAAAAAGTCACAATATATTTTATCATATAAAATAAATGACTTATAAAGGTCTCCTTACCTGAAAGGCCTGAATTCTTTGTTGCATGCAGAAAGGTCAACTAAATCAGGACACTCATCTTCCACCTCATCCCTTCCCAAGTCTTTGGAAATGTCAGAAACAGTCTCTTTCTGAATGTCCTCTGCGGGGATCTCCTCTTGACATCGAGCTCCCTCGTGTTCCTCTGTGTCGTTCTCTTCTGATGGAGTCTCCTTGCTAATTTTTAGCCCTTCCAGCTCAAGCATGGCATGTTTATACTCCTCCATGCAGATAACGTCCTCTGAGGCTGCCTGATGTGTGTCATCATCTGACTCTGAGATGTCATCATCTTCATCTCCACTGAGTCCCTCACCCTCTGGACCTTCAGGGTGAAGCAAACTGTCATCCTGCTGCAGCTCCTTGGTGTAGCCACTAGCTGAGATCTCCACATCGAGTGAACATGCTTTTCTGTGGAGAGAAATGCGTAACTTAGCTCGGTCTATAAAGTCTAGACCAGGGGTCGGCAAGTAAGGTTGGCATCGGGCCAAAACATTTTTTTTTACACTAGATGGCGGGCCAGAACATAGTCAATGGATAATTTAAGAAATTATTTGATGAAAAATGCAACTAGAATTGCCTGTGACAGACTGTTACAGTGTCTTTTGTAACTGGTAGTGAGCTGTTACTCTGTGTTAAATCCTGTAGTAGAACCGTCATTAACAAAAAAGCCACATTTGTGTGGCAGTGTCCGGGTTTTACACTGGATACATTAATAAAGCAGAAGGGATGAGTCACGATTTTCGAATATTCGATTTGTTGATTTATTTATAGAATATAGAATAGGTTGTGCGATAATTGTCTAAAAAAAAAATCCCCATGTTTTCGGTGCTGATTCGGTGGTGACGCTGTGTTCATGTAACCAGAGGGTGACGCTGCCAATAACGCAAAAGCTGTCACAAGGAATCGGCAAAAGTAATGATTATGAATGTTTCAAATATAGCAAGGAGACATTTTAATTGTTTATTAGTGTCTGTGTCGGCTGCAATAGTGACCGCAGTAGTTAACGCGCCTATAGAGAGAAATGCACATTTCATATGGATTACATAAGCAGAGAGTAGTCGGTTTCTTTTCGTTTTGAATTGTTTCGTTTAAAATTAGACATTTTAAGCTTTCAATATATATTTCTTGTGTCTGTGAGGCAGCTTAAACACTGAGTTTCGGTTCATTTATGAGAAGAGCTCCAGTTCACGAGCAATGCAATCTCGCCGGCGCCTCATGTCCTGATTATATTGTCTGCTATATTTGCTTCTTATTTATTAAATCCAGGCAATTGGTTGATGAAACATTGATTAAAAATAAGGTACAAATGACACAAAACAAAATTCACTTTTTAGAAAGGCTTTCTACAAAACAAAACTTAATGAAATGGTCAAAATCATGTCTGACCCACGTCTCCCGATATATTGCGGCATCTTGCAACACATCCCACCTTGCTAAAACACACATGTGGGAGATGCGGAATGGATAAAAATAACAAAAGAAATAAAAGAGGAATTGAATAAGCCCATTAATGGCATTTTTGAGTCATGCTCTTAACGAACTATGTTTTATTTCCTCTTTCCATATTGTGAATAATAAATGCGTATCATTTTAATTTGCTTGTTACACAATGGAGCCTAACTTATTGTAATAATTATTTGACGTAGCCTACTTTTAAACTTAGAATTATTCCTTGGGATAATCGCATACTAAACTACATTTTTTTAAATTGTTTGCGTGCAGGTGGTACGCTATTACGTCGCGTGTAGAGTGATGTTAACATTTAAGCTAGCTGGTGAGAGAAAATGGCACTATCAAAGAGTCTAAAGAGGAAAGTTGACAGCGAAAATAGCCATACAAAGAATAATGAAAAGACAACTATGCGTTCTTGTCTGTCAGTCATATAATGCAGGTCTATGGTAGTCTCGCGTAGCCAGACCTTCAGACTGACGGCTGAAGGTCTGGAATTCATAGCAGCTTTCTTTGGCTAAGGCCCGCCCACAAGGCCGTTTGACCGACATGTAAAACAACCAATTACAGATCGTTTCGTTCAGCGTCACGTTTCGGGGCGTGGAAATGTCCCCACAACAACAGACCTGCGTGCAACAAGTCAGTCAGCATAGAAAATCAAAGAAGGAGAAGAAAACTTCTAGAGTCTATGCCGTGAACCTCGCATACTTTTGAGAATCCTACGTTTAGCTGATCTTGATAAATGCTCATTGTCACTCATGTAAACACAACAGTTTTTCTTCCGCAATCACACGCCTGCGCTTTGTTTCCCGGCGGACCGAAAACAAACGCGACACTTGCGCCCCCCGGAAATCCGATAAAATTCAACCAATCAGATGACGACTTCAACATTCCTGAAGTGTTTCCAGTTAAGTGTACCATATGCATCAGACGTTTAGCCAACGTTCCGTGGGCGTGACGTCTGAGGCTGAGACTAGGTCTATGGTAACTTCCTCAAAGAGCATGCACAGAGAAGTCCAAATTAAACATGATTTAATGACTCGTAAATGTAAGTACACATTGATGGCCTAAGACACGAAACGATCGGTTTGTGTGAGAAAACGAACAGTATTTATATCGTTTTTACCTCTTGTAAACACAGCCACGTCCAAGTGATCTGAGGGCGTGGGAGCTTCCGTCTTTTCCGCCAAGCGCCGGAAGTGATCTCTCGCGCGTGTACGCCACTCATACAATTGTTTTTTTTTTTTTTTTTTTTTTTTACGATTTAAACATCCCGGATAAGCGCAAATTAGTACCCTTTTAACAAGCCGTCTTACCTACAATCTCTGCTCTGTGTAAACAATGAGTGACGAATACGCGCGAGAGATCACTTCCGGCACTTTCCGGAAAAGACCGAAGCGCCCGCGACCTCAGATCACTTGGACGTGGCTGTGTTTACAAGAGGTAAAAACGATATAAATACTGTTCGTTTTCTCACACAAACCGCTCGTTTCGTGTCTTAGGCCATCAATGTGTACTTACATTTACGAGTGATTAAATCATGTTTAATTTGGACTTCTCTGTGCATGCTCTTTGAGGAAGTTACCATAGACCTGCATTATATGACAGACAGACAAGAACGGTTTGACCTAAAAATATCAAAATTTAAAATACTGTGGAAACAAAGACACCTACATCTTGGATGCCCTAGAGGTAAGCTAAAACATACCAAAAATTAATTTCAAAGTGAACTATCCCTTTAAAGGGATACTCCACTTTTTTTGGAAATAGGCTCATTTTACAACTCCCCCAGAGTTAAACTGTTGAGTTTTACCGTTTTTGAATTCATTCAGCCGATCTCCGGTTCTGGCGGTACCACTTTTAGCATAGCTTAGCATCATTGAAGTGGACAAGACCATTAGCATTTCTCAAAAAAAAAAAAAAAGACCAAAGCGTTTCGATATTTTTCCTATTTAAAACTTGACTCTTCTGTAGTTACATCGTGCACTAAGACCGACGGAAAATGTAAAGTTGCGATTTTCTAGGCTGATATGGCTAGGAACTATACTCTCATTCCTGCGTAATAATCAAGAAACTTTACTGCCGTACCATAAATAGGAAAAATATCGAAACACTATGGTCATTTATTTTTTAGAAATGCTAATGGTCTTGTCCACTTCAATGATGTATGCTAAGCTATGCTAAAAGTGGTACCGCCAGAACCGGAGATCGGCTGAATGGATTCAAAAACGGTAAAACTCAACCGTTTAACTCTGGGGGAGTTGTAAAATGAGCCTATTTCCAAAAAAAGTAGAGTATCCCTTTAACTGCAAGTTGTCGCTGTTTGGAATATAATATTAGACATTTCATGACGGCTATTTTAGAGGTGTGTCTAGCGATCCACAGACTCTTTTGAATGTCTTTCAGAACTTTTCAGGCTGCGGCACGGGCCAGATATTATTGCTGGCGGGCCAGTTTTTACCCGCGGGCTGCCTTTTGCCGACCCCTGGTCTAGACTATGCAATAAAGCAAGCTTTTAGAAAAATTACCTGATATCTTTGAATGTTGGATAGAGTTCACTTTCGTAGTTGAATCTCCTGATGAAGAAATCTCGAACACATTTGACGTCTCGATCGAAGTACCTTTTGGAAAACAATCAAAAACTTAGTGCGAGTGCTTATTAAATAATTATCCGTTTATCATCAGGTTAAATAGCCACCATTCAGCATTTATATGGGAGGTGGAGACCATCTGAGGGAAGTCAATCATTGTGACGTGGTCGTTGTCATCGAGCATGAGGTTAAATTCATTGAAGTCTCCGTGGATCAGGCCATGATTGGCAAGTTTGATTATTAGCTCCATGATTTCACTGTACAGTGTAGCAGAGTCTTGAATCTGTCGAATCTGACACCTGTGTAATGAATACAGAAACAGTCAACGCAAGTAAATAAATAAACAAAAAATGTTGTTTCTATGTCCTTTGAAATTAAGTATGGTACAAGATAGATTAATACAGAACACCACTGCACAGTTATCAATGACCATGACATACAAGTAAATATTTAATCTAAGAAAAAAGTAGTGTGTGAGGAGTGTGTTCATCTAAAGCAAAGTGCAAGTAAACTCACAGCGGGTAACCATTAATAAACTCCATAACCACTGCATGTCTGTTGTAGTCTACTGGCTTTGGAACCGGAAACCCTCGGTCATATAATGCCTGTTGAAAAACAAGGACTCTTAAAATAAATCCAGACAAACATTAGCCCGAACAAGAACTGTTTTCTGGTCTTTATTTGGTTAGATTTAGCTTTAATATATCATAAAGTAAGCAACAGCTGGTAGCAGCTCAAATACCAAATAAATGGACATAAAATATCAATTTACATTCAAATTATTTCAGAAGAGAAGATTTGAATCTAGCACAATGTAGGAGATTGGTTGCAAGGGTCAACAACAGGCAAATACAGTTGGTTGGCATTGAGCAAATATTAGACCTCAGAATGCTGTGATTGACCAATTAGAGTCAAGTATTGCAGAGAGTACACATACTCAACACAAAAGATATTGTAGGTTGAAAATGACAATGGCAAAAAGGTTTTTTTTTTTTTGGATGTTGGTTATGGGACACTATGGGAAACTTTAGATAAAAGCATCTCCTATATCAGTGGTTCTCGACCAATTTTGTTAAATTATATTAATCTTAAATTGTTTAAAAACACACACACTAACTAAAATAAAGATGTAGAGCATTGAACTGACGTCGCATTTGTGAATTTATTGGTATTACAGCAGAAGTACCAGAGGTTCATATCAGCTTAGTTCGAGTGCCTTCGAATATTGTCTTGGACAAAGTGGAACCATTGTGCTACATGAATAAATGTAATGGATTCTGACAAAAATGCATTTTCAGATTAGAAGCATGCATGCAAATACAAATGAGACTTTTAATATTGAAAACAAATGAAGTAACCCAAAATCTGCCAAAAAAAAAAAAAAGTACAGAAAGAGTACAGAAAATATCCTCTAGGAATATTTGGATATTACCTTCATGTATGCATACTCTTTCATGGCAGAGAGCCGGGACAGGTACAGCCATGACATATTGTGTCTGTGCTTGTGGTAATCTCTCTTATTCTTCAAGTTTCTGAAGGATGTCCTACCCAGTCTGTGAAGTTTCATAGCAAACTGCTCCCCCTCTGCATTTGCAACAATGTAAATGTCTGAAATATAAAACAAGTATTATAAGTCTCCATTATGATAAGTGAAACTATTCAAGGTTTGAGTGAGAATGGACCATTTTTTTTATTATTTTTTTAAATGTGTCAGACTTCTTAACGACTAAAAATAAATTCTAATTAAAAAATTATCCTGACCTGACTCTTTGCCAACTCCCATCTGGTTTCCAACAGACAAAATAACATCCCTGGATGAAAGTGTCTTCAATGCCAGGTAATCATAGCCGCCGTAATTCAGGCGATACCCCTGCACAGCTACAGTGAGGAAACACAGTCAAAGCTGCACTCATCCACAAAAACATTACTGAATGAAACTGAAGGATGATATCAAGCCTAACATTTTTTTCCCAATATCTTTGTTGTCCCTTTCTTGTTTTATAACCACAGAACAAGTACACAAACATACACCCTTTCACATACACATTCAATTTACACTTTTTAAAAGAAGAAATGCATTAAAGTAAATAAATAAATTAAGATAAACGTATAAAAATAAAATAAGAAATAAGTAAATAAGAAATAATTAATTTGTTACAGTGTTAAGCCTAACACATTTACCTTTGCTGCGCTCATAGGCCAGCAGTTTGTGTTTCACCAGCTCCCGCAAAACCTTGTTGCATCCTCCATGTTTGAGACTGGCAATGGATGCAATCAGATTCACTGGGACGATTTCGTGATTCTTCATGCCCATTTCCACCTGTGTGCACCCCGAAGAGAATAAAAATGGCATAACGCAAAAAACTTGATCACTGAATCATAATCAGATCTTTTAGTTTGTACTTCCATCTGAGCAAACCTGTAATGAATCAAATGTCAAGCAGCAAATATCTTTCTCTTCCCACTAAGCAAACTGAAATGTAATAATTTTGTTTATAATTTGTATAATTACATTCTCTGAAATAGTTGACAACAGTAATTCAACAAGGTTCGCTAATTTTCATAAACAGAATGTGAACTTCAGGGGTTGGACAATGAAACACCTGGTTTTAGTCCACAATCATTTATTAGTATGGTGTAGGGCCTCCTTTTGCGGCAAATGCAGCATCAGTTAATCTGGGAAATAACAGATATAAATCCTTCAGTGGCCAAAAGGATTTTGAGCCATTCCTTTTTCAAAACAGTGGACAGGTAAGGAAAATATTTTCTGAACAAAATACCTCAAAGTGACAGGTTTGTTTGATGTTCAACTTTCCTTTCATGTTCAAACTATTGTGTCACGAGTTTTGCTGTGTGTATTATCATGCTGATACACGGCACCTCATTCAGGGTACAATGTTTGAATCATTAGGTGCACCTGGTCCTTCAGAATGGTTCGGTAGTCCTCGGCAGGGACGATGGGGCGGGGCGACACTTTTAGGCGGGGCGACACGTGTCGCTCCGCCCACCCCCAATTTAATTGGTTTATTATACCGCAATCTTATTGGTGTAAACGATTCAGGTCTGAGCATGCGCATTCCTTTATGTACGATTTTGTGAATGATTTGGCCGTATCAAAGAAATATTAAATGCTAACTTTAATTGTATCTTATTATCAGTTTACCATGGTAATTTTTGTTAATATCTATTGGCTAATACTTTATATACTTAAGACACAGTATAGATTAAGTTATTGTTTAAAAACGAACGCTTGGTGACGTTACTTGTACTTCAGGGAGATGTTTTACATTAGATAGTGCGTCATTCACTTGGCTTCTTCATATTTCTATCAGGATCGGTGGATCAGCACAAACTCGGGATTTTACGCAAATGATGATATTGACTGTAAGAATGTAAGCAGCTGATTTTAAATTTTAAAGCATGACCGTTTTTTGTTGTCATTTTTTTAACGAGTTTGTCCAATGCTTGCATTATTTGGTACAAAGTGCAAATAAAATGTTTAATGGCAAACACGTTTCCTGGTTGATTACCTGTTCATACAATATGAGGGCCTATTGGTTCTGTAAAGCCCTATGTTATATTTTTTAAAGATTCATGTTTTCTAATAAGTGTCAACCGGTTATGTACTACTGTCTATCTGTGACTGTGACATCAGGTATATTAAAAATCCAATTGTTTATTTATCCTTCATCGCATTGCGTGTTCATGTAGGCTACTGGATAAAAATGGTTACAAATATTAACACATAGGCTAGCTGCATAACCATAAAAAACACACACTGCTATAAATCTGTGCAATTATAATAGGCTGTAATAAAATAAATAAAACACCCAGCAGAGAAGTGATATGAACATGTAGGCCAATTGCTTAAATACGCTCTTGAGCACATAGCCTACATTATAATATTTGCTATAGATCAACATAACATCTGTTTTAGTAAAAAAAAAAACATTTTTTTTTTTCACATTGCAGCGCTGCACGGATTTTATTCCCATTGTACGCACATAACCCAATGGCCAGGGCTTGCTATTTGGTAGCCTGTCTTATTTGTCACCGTGGTTTTGCTTAAAAAAAAAAAAAAAAACACACTTTCAGATTTATCCTTGTTTTACTGAAATACAGGGAATTATCATAATTTGTGTAAAATCCCGAGTTTATGTTTATTCACTGATCCCACTGGAAAAACGAAGAAGCATTTAAACGAATGATGTAAAATTAAGGAGCTCTGCATGACATGCGGAAAAATATTGTCTAAATCAGCCCACATAGAAATGATCTTTCCTTTGATCTGCCAGTAATTTCATGCAGTCATGCTCATTGCCCACCAAAAGTGGCACTGACTTATCTAGGGTAAATTAATATAGTATAGCTAGGCTAAATCTCAAACAGTGTATTATTTATCAGCAACATATTTTGTGATATCCCCAAGCAATAAAACTGCTCAATATTACAATATGACTTTTTGTAAAGCTGCTTTGAAACGATGTGAATTGTGAATACATTTGACAGTAACTTCATCTAACTTCATTCGTAAGTTCATCAAAACATTATCCAATTGATCGTTACTGAAATCGCAATGGTTATCACTTAATATCTTAATATAGTACGGCCAAACAGCGTCATAGATAATTAATAAACTCGTACATAAAGGAATGCGCATGCTCGTGCCTCAAGCGTCTATGCCAATAAGATTGCGGTATTATAAACCAATAAAATCGGGTGTGGGCGGAGCGACACGTGTCGCCCCACCTAAAAGTGTCGCCCCGCCCCATCGTCCAGACTGCACTCTGGGGCTACTCAAACCATCACTGATCCACCCTGTGCTTCACTCTGGACAGCAACAGTCCGGGTGTTAAGCCTCTTTGGGGCTTCTCCACATCATAACTCCCACAGATGTGGGAAAGACAGTGAAGGTGGAAATACATGTTTCACATTGTCCACAGCCCAAGATTTGCACTGTTGGCACCAATGAAACTGACATTTGGCATTTGCACAAGTGACCAAAGGTTTGACAATAACAGCCCGACCGTGAATATTGACTCTGTGAAGCTCCAGACGAGTCTTTTAATTATGCAGTGAGTTTGGCAGCTGTGCTTTTATGTGTTTTGGATGCAATCCGGGTTAGTACCTGCCTGGACATCCCTTTCTCTTGCTTCGACAGTTACTCCTGTTGGATGTGGTTCGTCCTACAGTATGTGGTGTATGCCGACTTTACCCTGAATACCATACCTCTCAATACACCCCAAATACTTTCTGTCCTGGTCACATATGAGCCAGCGAGACGCGCAGAATCAATATGTCCTCTTTGAGGACAGTGAAGATTGGCCACCAGGCCGCGCATACAGGCGTGAAACATCTAATACTATAGTGGTCAGTGTTTCATTGTTCAACCCCGTACATTATATGCCATGATAGAACTAATATTATGCAATATGCATTTAGCTAAAATGAGAATCTTAATTTTGATTGACACAGACAGACGTATTTAGCTCAAATGGTTGTTAAAAATACAGCAGGATGAAAAATACATGTAAACAGATTGGATACATACCGCTGTGAGAACTCTAAAATCATCTCTGGACAGATACCTCAGGATAACGACGTTCAATTTGCCCATGATGGCAAACCCGTTTCCACTTAATTTTATAAAGGTTTCTATATTTTGCAAATGTCTTGCAATGCGTTTTTAGTTCAACCTCAACCAGCCATTCCACATGTTTAAACCGGAAAAGCACAGTATTTTGACGTGCCCATCCTTGAGGTTGACGGGTTAAGTGTTTCTCCTGGCGGCCTGGAGTAGAATTGCATGTGCAGCTTTGAAACGCCGTCTGATCTGATGTACTTGTATCATATTCACAAAACGAGCAAATCAACAATATTTAAACCTCAAGCAGGATCTTGAATCTTGTCAAGTGAAATAACAAATGACACAAAATAAAACAGTCGAGACGTGTTAAAGTTTTTAAAACTTTTTTTAATGTTTTTTTTTTTTTTTTAAATTCATTTATATTATCTACAAAGTAAAAGTTATTTTAACTTAACAGTTTTATAACGGTCAAGTCAAATGGGGTTTTGTCATCAGATTAAATTAATAAATAATTTATCTGCATTTGTTTTTGCCGAACATCTTCATTAATGGAAGTTTCTTGTGTTTAGTTTGGTTACAACCATTCCGTTTTGTTGGTGTTTTACCCCAAGGTCTTGAGCACAGCTATAGATAGCAGCAGCATTTAACAGTAATGTTAATACTGTCAATATACGGAAGAATTATCTTTAACTTAGAAGGTGCAGACGAAATGTTCCAGTTATTTATGCAGTTTTCTCACTCTTCTGGGCTTTTTTGCTATTGTTAGGACCCACTGCAAGAGTTCTAGTGTCACTGAAACGTGAAAAATGATTCCTCGTTAAAACTCTTGTATTTCGTTTCTTTAAAAAAAAAAGAAAAAAAGAAAAGCCAGTTCACCACATCTTTGCTGTTAATGTTTCTTAATCATTGGTGGTGGGTAGCAGTAGAGCAGCATGATAGAGGTTCTCGTGGCCATTTAGGGGGGTGTTTAAGGATTGGTTGGCCAGTATGTGATGGGCGGGGCCAGATAGCTCTGCAAGGACCAGGAGCCACTCAACTCGACTGCTGTTCTCTGATCTTCATCCTCTACATCTGCTGCTGATGGTGAGCTTGCACTGAAACACACAATGATTTATTTTACACACTTGATAGCAAAATTAACAGAGAAACTTAAATACACATGTACAACAGTTAACATCACAAGTCAGACAGTATGTTACTAACATTACAGGCAAAACAGAAATTTCAGATCACTATATAATCAAATGCATACATTATAAAAGACAACAAAATGTTGGTTTGAAGATTACATGAAAGTTCCATGGAATGTGGAACGTTTTTTTTTGGGCCTGCCTGAAAATACAAACTTATTGGCAATAGGTGGTGGTTGAAATTGAAAAAATACTAGGAGTTTGACAATTCATTCATTACATTGCACCTCGGGAAAATAGCAAAAACTGTTTTACACAAGGAAAAATACTAGTATAGTAGTAGGAAAGCTATAGTAGTAGCCAGTAGGAAAGCCATAATTAACTGAAATATACTGTATAGAAAGACTCACATTTAATTAATAAAAAAAAAATGTAGCAAGTATTGGGGAAAATGAATTATGTCTATACATTTTAAAGTGTTATATTGTATATCAAGATGTATGTTGAAAACGTACTGTGACCTGACATTGTAACACCCATGATGAACCTTAGATCTTTGTTTTCAATAAAAAAAGGGGAAAAAAAGTATTTTATTATTTTGTTAATTCAAAAAAACGTAATAATAATAATACTATTAATAATTAGATAAAACAAACATAGTTATGCAATATTTATTATTTTTAGATAAAACATAATAATTATACAAAATAATAATAATATTAATGAGATTATTATATAAATGTTTCTTATATATTTTTATATATATATATCTCAACCCTCTACAATGCAAGTAAATGACTTGCATATGCGAATAAATCTTCACTCTGGGCGACTAAACGTCTATCATTAGCCATTGGCAAATAAATTCTTAGATTTTGCTCGCCAGTGTGTGTGTTAGAAGCTAAGTATAAGTTTAGCATAGATATATTTTCACTTGCTGAACACTGACTTAGCGCTTGAGAGTTTCGCTCTCCGTCACGCAATCTGTAGATTCTGTACTATTTCAATGCAGCTCAATGGATGTGCGGGCCAGGGTACCTGTATTTGACGTCCCGTAAACTTTAGTGTGCTGTCGCTTTGCTGAGAGTACGGTGTTTCTCACACACACGCAAAGAGAGAGAGAGTCTTACATACCACGCAGAATCAAATCGTTACATGTAAACGATTTTCTTTGTTGTATTTTCCAGTCAAAACAACAGTTAATTTACAATTATTCAGCTTTTAAGAATAAGCAGAAGATATGCCGGTTTCTCCGGTAGTGGGCAGAACTAATGCGCAAACTGCAAACTCGTTGGCTGGCGCTCATCTATTACCGTCCCTGTTTTGATTTCAGCAAATCAGTTTGAGCGAATGCTGATAACGTGATTAATATTCATGGACCCAGCAGCTCATCAATCCTTAGTGCGTTGTACAGTGCATCCGGAAAGTATTCACTGCGCTTCACTTTTTCCACATTTTGTTATGTTATAGCCTTATTCCAAAATGGATTAAATTAATTATTTTCCTCAAAATTCTACAAACAATACCCCATAATGACAACGTGAAAGAAGTTTGTTTGAAATCTTGGCAAATTTATTAAAAATAAAAAACGGGGGGAAAAAATCACATGTACATAAGTATTCACAGCCTTTGCCATGACCCTCAAAATTGAGGTCAGGTGCATCCTGTTTCCACTGATCATCCTTGAGATGTTTCTACAACTTGATTGGAGTCCACCTGTGGTAAATTCAGTTGATTGGACATGATTTGGAAAGGCACACACCTGTCAATATAAGGTCCCACAGTTAACAGTGCATGTCAGAGCACAAACCAAGGAATTGTCTGTAGACCTCCGAGACAGGATTGTATCGAGGCACAGATCTGGTGAAGGGTACAGAAAATTTTCTGCAGCATTGAAGGTCCCAATGAGCACAGTGGCTTCCATCATCTGTAAATGGAAGAAGTTTGGAGCCACCAGGACTCTTCCTAGATTACAAACTGAGCGATCGAGGGAGAAGGGCCTTAGTCAGGGAGGTGACCAAGAAAGGAGAGAGGTGAAACTTCCAGAAGAACAACCATCTCTGCAGCACTCCACCAATCAGGCCTGTATGGTAGAATGGCCAGACGGAAGCCACTCCTCAGTAAAAGGCACATGACAGCCCACCTGGAGTTTGCCAAAAGACACCTGAAGGACTCTCAGATGATGAGAAACAAAATTCTCTGGTCTGATGAAACAAAGATTGAACTCTTTGGCCTGAATGGCAACAGTCATGTCTGGAGGAAACCAGGCACCACTCGTCACCTGGCCAATACCATCACTACAGTGAGGCATGCAGGTGGCAGCATCATGCTGTGGGGATGTTTTTCAGCGGCAGGAACTGGGAGACCTCAGACTGGGGCGACGGTTCATCTTCCAACCGGACAACGACCCTAAGCACATAGCCAAGATAACAAAGGAGTGGCTACGGGACAACTCTGTGAATGTCCTTGAGTGGCCCAGCCAGTGCCCAGACTTGAACCCGATTGAACATCTCAGGAGAGATCTGAAAATGGCTGTGCACCAACGCTCCCCATCCAACCTGATGGAGCTTGAGAGGTTCTGCAAAGAAGAATGGGAGAAACTGCCCAAAAATAGGTGTGCCAAGCTTGTAGCATCATACTCAAAAATATTTGAAGATGTAATGCCAAAGGTGTTCCAACAAAGTATTGAGCAAAGGCTGTGAATACTTACGGACATGTGATTTTTGTCGTTTTTTATTTTTAATAAATTTGCGAAGATTTCAAACAAACTTCTTTCACGTTGTCATTATTGGGTATTGTTTGTAGAATTGAGGAAAAGGAATTAATCAATTTTGAAATAAGGTTGTAACAACAAAATGTGGAAAAAGTGAAGTGCTGTGAAAACTTTCCAGATGCACTGTATATTGTTATTATTATCTTTTTAGAATAATCACTATTATATATTACTATGATCTTTTTCTGTTAAAATGACAACTATGCATTCATACATGGTTACCAAGTTTTAGTTCTAATTAAAGTACTATCATTAAATAGTGCTTTATTATCTTATATCAAAATATAATGCTTGATTGACTGATGTTAAGTGTACGTTCAGATATTTAAAAAGCTGTGCCATTTTACTAAGATAAGCTGATTTGGTGGAATCATTCATATACTCTCTCTCTATCTCTATATATATATATATATATATATATATCAGTCTGGTGAGTAAACAAAAAAAATTTACTAGCCAATGGCGATTCTATTGCCAAGGTGTGCGTAGAGGGTTGTATAGATATATATAATAATATATATATATACACACACTATATATATATATATATATATATATATATATATATATATATATATATATATATATATATATATAATTATATATTTTTTATATTCTCTATGTGTTCAGTTGAGCTGAGAAAGGCTCTTACCAGGGGTGAGAGTGTAGGAGTAGTGTGTGGCTGATGACACAGGGATGGGGTTGAGAGTGCCCTGGGGCATCGTAGGTTGGGGGCCAGTAGGAGCCTGTGTGGCCATCAACATCATAGTGGGGTGTGAAGGAGTGCCATGATGTTGAGGCACCATCCCTGACTGCATGTGTGCCTTTAGAGACATAGTGAATTAATATCCTCTGAATATTTTTTTTTAATATTTATTTTTATAATCCTGGTGTCTCACTAGCACTCACCTGCTGCACATGAGCCATATGGTTATGGTTGTACCCATGCTGCACCTGCTGGGGGTGGATGTAGACGGTCTGCTGAGCAGAGGGGAAGCTGGCTTGAGGGGACTGAGGGTTGGGGCCGGGGGTCATGGAGGGTGGGGTTGGTGCCAGGGCAGAGTACATCTGCTGTTGTGGTGGGTTGCCCAGGTGCATGGCCTGGGCTGCAGCCTGGTGCTGGGGATGCTGAACGGGGCTGGGGGCCGGATGGCTGCCTCCGTGCTGGTTACCCTGCTGGGGTTGTCCTGTCGGGGTGGCAGAGGGCTGAGGGTGCTGAGGATGAGGGTGCAGGGTGGAGTTTGGGTGG